TGACAAGAAAACATTTAGGAAATTTTGCTGTATTTTGTTATATACTCAAAATTATTCTTTCTAGAATCAGGTTACTTTCAGTTGTTTCAATCTTTAACAAATTAAACATTAAAACCAAAAGAAATAAGTTTATGAACACAACAATTTTTAATTAATTTTGAGAAAGTAGCAATGTTGACACATAAATATGTCATTTTCCATTCTCTGGTCTTGGGAAAATATGACATTTAAGTTATGAGATTCTAAAGACACTGTATCTTAGTTTTATTACAGAAGCAACAGTGACTCATATCTGCCTGAACAAAATCCACTGGGTATAAAATGCAACCGCCTAAACAATGGATGCACATAGTAGGAAATATATTTGGATTGGAAACCCTGACATGTTACCTGAGCAATAAGGACAGAAAGGGATCACCAAACAACAATGATGCTATCATATCTGGGTCTGCATAAAGCTAAGGGCAATGACACTACAATAAGAAACATATATTTGATTCTTGTGCTTTGTTAAAATACATGTCATTGGTTCTAAATAAAACGTGAGAAAGAAAAATTATGAGCACATTTCTTCTCATGAAACAGAGAATTTGAAGAGACTTCGCTCTCGGCAGACTAAGAAATAATGTACACAGACTTCAAGGGCAAAGAAGACATGCAATATAAAGGAGGAGCTTTTTTTGTCCTGCAGTGTGTGAGGTGTAAGGCAGGAAGAGTGTGAAAGGAAGAGCAGTGTGTGTGCATGGGATAAGGGGGTTATATTCCCTGTGGTGCCATCTACGGAAGGTTCTGGGCCGGGTGAAGCTGTCTGAATGGATGGAATGTTTCTTCAGACGTCCCAGAAGCACATTCTTCCACTGCAGGACCTCGGTTTGTTTTTTTCTTGTTCCAGATTCACTCGATTATCCCTGACTGCTCTAAACATTCCAGGAGTCCCACATTCCTTTTTCCACTCCAGCCAGGATCCCCGACCACCACCACCCTCCTCCCAACACTAACACCTGCCTCTATCCAGACCTCTTCTCTTTTTTTCTTGTCATTCCTCATCATGGATAAACCTGCCCCAAAAAAGATCCACTCTTTTTTGCCGAGGAATTTAGGTTACTTGAGAAGAAGGAAAGCCCTCGTGCCTCCGGCACACCTGGCTGATTCACTGTGCAGTTATAAAAGAAAATGAGTGAAGGCAGGCATGATCCTCCAGCTGGGGCACCACAAGCAGCACCTCTTTATTCGTCTGGTATGACTGGACTCATGATAAGACCCTATAGCTGTCTGAAGTGGCACAGACATGCATGATTACACAGGTGCACCAGGGACACTTAACACTTGGCAGACAGATATGCAGTGTATGAGCCTAAATGCCACTAAAAATGAAGTAAGATGAAGCATGTGGGTCTGATACATGATAGGTTTTTTAGCTAAGGGAATTTGGAGTAATTGTCAGTTTTGCTGAGACTGTCAGCAATAGAAAACACATGCATCATTTAGAGAAAAGGATGCAGTGACACATAACGTCATACCATTGTTCAAAAATTAATGTTCATATGTGGTGACTTCAGTATAGATTTGTTAAATCCTAACAAGCACACAGGAACTGAGGAGTTTATTAACACAATATATAGATGCAGTTTACACCCAAAAATTACAAAACCAAGTAGAGTAACAACCCAGCATGCAACACTAATAGATAATATACTTACCAATGTTATTGACAGCAAAATGACAAGTGGATTACTTATAAATGATATTAGTGATCATCTACCAGTAT